TCTAACTGCAGGACTATTCACTGTTAGTAGCGATCTGTTGCATTTCCTATTGGTTCCTGAATCCAATGATTTCACAAATGATGAGAAATACATCCGTCAGCAAATGAGAAAAATGGCAACTATACTGTATGAGATGCCTCTCAGGTAAACCGTTAGCATTGTTCTCATCTTACATGATTTGTAAGTGCTACCTTCAGGGCTCTCGTTTTGTGTGCTCAAGCTTCCGCCCAGCTATGGCGTCGCAATGGATTCTCTCTAGTGAATCAAATTCACAATTATTACTCACCTCTCTGTCGAACGGAAATGTTCGACAGAGACTTGTTGATGATGCAGGTTTGAATACACATTACAAATTCTTGAGTTATGAGCCGTAGTGTATACGTTATGTTCCTCTTGGACATTTACCGAAAGAAATAATGGCGTCGTCATAGAAAAAGCCTTGTTGGAGAATCGTCTGTGTGGCACAATCGCGGAAAATAGGGGGACCCGCTGTTGGCCTATGTAATAGACGGTTCTCGCTCAGAACGCGTTCCAACGTCAGATTGATATCTGTACTTATCTTTCTCGCTCGGAACGTTTGCGTTTTTCTCAAAGTGCTCAGCAAGCTCGAAACGCGAACAAGTATATAGTTAACAATCGTCGCTTTAACGCTTCATATCCCTAGAAAGTGGTATGTGGATTGTGCAATAGTGTGGCGGCGGTGTAATGCGGTGGAAAGCTACGCTGTAAGTGTGAAACAGAATTGCTTCGTGATTGGGTCCCTCTGATCGCGCGCGCGGTTATAGCGCATTCCATGTTACAAGCGATGAATAATGGCGCGGCCAACGAACGATAGTTGAAGAGATAGAAGCTACAACGAACTAAACTAATATAAGCGAATCGTGAATTAAGACAAGTGTGAAACAGAATTACTGGATTTTCTGTGGGAATCCAAACTGGGTTAACAGAATGGGTTGTCAAGGTGTGTTGAAATGATCGCTATTTATGGTCATACGAAGAATCATCTCAATAGAAGGTAGTTCATTGAAAATGAAGCGAGGACAGATTGAGGGAGAGCGAGGAAAAGCAACATGAGGTAAAACATGAATGACGGGTGAAGGAAGAAAAGACTGTGAAAGTTTAACTGGCCAATACCTTTTTGAGAGTTTCACTCGCATAATAAACAATTGAGTTTTTTCTATTAGGTTGGAGCCGCTATCCGCCCACCGACTGATTTTCTGCTGCACATCATATGCCGGTTCCGACTAGTCCAGTGGGCTGATCAGTCTGGTGATGGCGGATCGAAACATTCCACACCGTTCGGAAAAATGGAACCCGAAGAAACTGGGAAAATCATCGTCATACTAGCAGAAGAAATGCTGCATTTGCTGATCATGATACTTGGTTAGTATTATTTTACCGTCGAAAATCAGCACTGCTCTTTGAAATTTATCACGTCGAGCACAGGAGAACGATACCATCCTGGTGTGGGAAAGTGCACGTTTACGGATCAAGTACAGCGTGAAGTCATCCATGTGCTTTGTACCGGACCACAACCTTTCAGTCATGTGGGTCGTTTGGTACCACTTTCCTCATAATCCCAATAATCCCAACTAGTTTATTATTTCAGATCCAAAAGAGGATGTCTCATGATCCTATGGTGGAGCGCATATCGTTGCATGAAGTCGTCAACAGTGTCGCGAACTTTGTGTGAGTATATTGGAAGTTATCGGAGTGGTTTTGAACTTATGTGCCTATACGCTGCAACAAAAAGCGTCAGAGTAAGGAGGGAGCGATAAGTAGTTATATTAGAGAGTAATCGAGTTTTTACAAATAGGGAAAACTCTAGCTCCTACCGATATTCTTTCCTCAATCCTGTTCGGTCGTGTCTTCTTTCTAAGTCGGTTACGTTCAGCAAACCAACGACAACCTCAGCTGGACAGTTTTATCTGAAGGAGTCATTACTCACTGAATACAATCCCTTCTTCTATCACTACTCGAAAAGCGATCTTTCGCAGGCCGAACAATACCAGCAAAAAATACGCTCAAAGCTTGATCGGTATGATTCGTACAACGATTTCTTATCGTTTTAAGCATTTCCCTTTGAAGGAATGAAATATAAAGATGAACATTCGATTTCAGGAAGCTACAAGCGTGTCCACCGCCCATGCCTGTTGAGTTTGAACCATTCTTCGCTTCAGTTCGAAACATATTGAAGACTCCATGTCTAATCAAAATTCTGAAACTGGTTCTGGATAGAACAGGAAAACGGAGTCGCTTTTCGAGTGATCGTCTTTTCCATCGGGTTTGTGAAACTGAATTCCTTTGTTCATTTTATTGGTGTGAAACTTGTCACTTGTTTTGAACACCTATCTTTCAACCCTGCAGAAGAGCTTGAACATTTGTAATCAAAATAGAAAATTATGAAAAATGGGTTCGAAACTTTCTGATATTCCCTGACTTGTCCCTTTCCTAACCTGAAATTTCTAGGCATTTTTCATGATCGGTATGGGTCTGCAAGAGCAAGCACGGGATCCCAAACGTTTCAACTTCACTGAAGTAGCAGAAAAAGAAGAGATTCTCCATTCG